TAATTTTTTATCGTTCGTTCATAACAAAAAAAAAAGAAAGAGAAAGATAGATAGATAGAGAGAGAGAGAGAGAGAGAGAGAGAGAGAGAGAGAGAGAGAGAGAGAAAAGAAAATTATATTATTTGAAAATTACAAAATTATCTTTATATTCTTGTTATATAATCAATGTTATTAATGTATAACATTATATTATACGGTTATAATTATATATTAATTATACTATAAGTTATGTATCTATATATATATATATATATATATATATATATATATATATATATATATGCGTATATACACACACACATATATATATATATATATATATGTATAATCATTTTTATATGTAACTGCCGACATTATTTTATTCAATCTCGATTCCACTGGGGAAAATTTTCACGTATTACCATTATGTTAATATTATTATACTAATTTTCTGTAATAGCTATACCTATTCTGTTCATTTTACTTTTATGGATTAAATGCAACTATTGGTATATGCACCATATATTAAATGTAATATGTTTATGATAATATGAATGCCATATTGTAATAATAATCGAACGAAATTCTGATAAATTTAATTAAAATTACAAAAAGCACTTTTATTACGTTTCATACAAAATTTTCTTTTCTTCTTTTTTTTTTTTTTTTTTCTTTTTTCATTTGGATATAGAATAGCCTCGATCATTTTTAAGATCTCTAAGGTCAATCAAATTTTTTCAATTCTTATTACAATATATTTTTTTTATGTTAAATATACTGCATGTAAAATTTTGTTACATTTCATTTATTCATTCATTCTCCCTCTCTCTCTCCCTCTCTCTTTCAGCTTACTTTTTATTAAGATCTAATATAAAAAATCATTTAAAACTGTACATCTTTATAAAAAATTTATAATTACATATAATATAAAATCTTTATATTTCAATGAAACTTAAATTATTATTTTTCGTCTGCTATTTATATCAGTTAGTATTTATTACATACATTTGATCAGTATTCTAAATAAATGATCATGGTATTTATAATAAAATAGTATATAATGTAACCAACGAAATCCGAACATAATCCTGACATTTAATTATTTATTCCGACCAAAATATTCATATACATTAATTATTTGTTTTGATAAAATATTTATCATTAATTAATAAAAAATACTGACCAAATAAACGCATTATTTTTGTAATATTTATAAACAATAATATATATATATATGAAACTATAATATTCATGTAATTTTCGTAATGTTCATATAATAAAAAAATAAAAAAAAAAAAAAGATAAATTAATTAATTATTTTCATTGTATCATTCAATTAAATGTTTAAACTGCAAGCGTTATATAAATATAAGTATTAGAAAAAAACCTTAAAATTTGGGCAGGATTTCAAAGTAAATTAACGAATTTCATTGAATATAAAATGACAATAATAATTGATATCTTTTCATCACAGTAATTGCATAGTGATTGGACATTTACAAAGGTCCTTTCTAATCTATGTTGGATTCTCAATCTATCTCTAATTGCGGTTTGCTAGAATCGGCTTATGCTTACCGAGAGCTGTACATTGCGTGAAGGTAATAAGATACGCACATATTCAAAGGTTTGCGTGTATGCCTATCGTATTTATGATTGACGTTAGACAGACTTGAATATATACGCACATTTATGGTTATTATTGCGAATATACGTAGATATATGTGTGCGGTGTGTGTGTATGTGTATGAAAATTATTTATATATACGTATATGTGCATACAAATAATTTTCATATAAATTACTCGTTGATTTTTCAAATTGTTAACACGTCATTTGATAAAACGAATAACACGTCATTGAATACTTTAAAACATTCAACACATCGAATTAATTTTATATAACATTTTTCTCCTGATTGAATATTGTCTTATACGATTTATACTGTTCAAATGTTATTAGAATCGATTAAATTGAATTTTATTGTCATTAGAAATATCTAAACGTGTCTGTAATAATTTAATTTTTTCATTAAATTTCATGGGGAAAAAAAAAATGGAAATGAGTATTATAATTTTTCTATTATTTTACTTTTCTTACTTCCTGTTTTAACGTTTAATTAAAGTATTTAAATATGATATAATTTTTCATTGGAAGTTTCGAAAAAAAGAAAAACAAGAACAGAAAAAAAAAAAGAAGAAAATGAATGGTAATAATAATGCGAGCATATTAAATAAATGATAATAATAATGTGTATGTGTATGTGCGTATTAAAGTATTAAAACTATTGAAAATTTTTCGTGCATTAATATTATTATTTCAAATATATTATAATTCATTTGATTTTAATAATTTTTATAAATCATTTTATCTTATAGCAACGGGAATATTGAATTACTAATTTATAATAATATTTCAATCGTTAGCCATTGTTGATTATTATGATGTATTCAATTGTTAAAATTTAAAATTTCTCTTTTCGTTCGAATAATATTGAATATAACTATAAAATCAATATTTATTGAAAAATCGTTTAATCTTATTCCAAGAGGATAAACATTTTAATTTGTCATTGCTCTTTTTTCTCTAATAGAAAAGAAAGGAAAAGAAAGGGATGAAAAGAAAAGTAAAGGAAAGGAAGAACGAAAAATGATGAATATGTAAGAGAAAATTAAGCAAAGGATTATTAATATATAGAAGAATATAATAAAATTCTACCGGATAGGATATAAAATGCTTTTCAATTTATAGAAATAAATGCGAATGTCGAGGAAGTCGTACACCTCTGTGAGAGTGAAAAATTCCAGTGAATATTATACGATTATTTCTGTGTGAGTGTAATTCTACGTAGAAGAATTGCGTGAAAATATGAAATGAAAATACCTTCCACGATTTAACATCCTCAACGTTCTTTAATTTCTATCTCCGATTCTCGAAGAATAAGACGAGACTCCTACGGTATTTATCTTATATACATTTTTAAGATGCATTGAGAAACATTTATTTCTTTTTTCTTTTTTTTTCTTCTTCTTTTTTTTGTTTTTTTTTTTTATTATTATTTTCTTCTTCGTCCTTCTTTTCTTTTTCTTTTTCAAATATTTTTTTTTTCTTTTGTTTTCGTATATTAAACCGATCGGAAATTTTTTGTTTTGTTTTACGTTGTCAAATATGTCCTCTGCTATTACCCGAAAATATTTCACTCGAATGAAATATTTTTTAATATTTAATCTGCAATAACTTGCATTATAAATCAATGTCAATTGATAATACGTTAATTAATTTAAATCTTACGGAAACGATTTATTTTTTTCTTTTTTTTTTCTTTTTTTTTTGTTTTTTGTTTTTGTTTGTTTTTCTTTTTATTATCAATTTTCGATGAAAAAAATGCAATTGCCTTTATAAATGTCATTCGTTTTCGATTGGGAAATTTAATTTACCGTGAATTTCATTCCTAACGTTTAATTTAATTCCTAACTGTAATTACTTAATGTAATAATTTACTTTATAAATTAATGTTAAATTAATGTAATTTTACTTTATAAAAATACTTAACTTAATTTCATAGGGAAATAACATTTTAAATCAATAATTTAATAATGTCCTACTTTACGTAAACTTTACGAATTTGCAAGATTTTCTTTTTTTTTTTTTTTTCTTCTTTTCTTGCGAGAATAAGATTCAAACTAATTATAACAAAAGTTAATACTTTGATTAATAATTCGAAGATAGAATATTAAGTTGTCATTAGCTAACTTATTAATCTTAATTATTTAAAACAATAGAAATAAGTTTAATACGATGATACGAACGAAGAGAAAATTGTTATCGATGATTTCTAACAAATTAGATTAAAAAAATTATATCTTTTATTCTTAACTTTAAAGTGAAAAACAAATGATTCATTTCAGCATCATCATTACTATATTTATTATCATTATTATATATCATTATTTATTTAATATGATAATTAATATATTATATTAATTGTTATTACTTAGCAATTATCATCTATATTTATTCGATTATTATCATATAATATCAATAATAATTATTTATTTATTTTAATCTTAACACTTATCGCAAGATAAATGAAATTATCTCAGTAAAAATTTTAATTCGTTATATCATTTTGCTTAATGAGTCAATATTTTCTTGATAATGATTTTCCAAAATATAAGGAATATAAATCATGACGCGTTGAAAAACGAAGAAGCGTTTCAAGGATACGATAAATATATATATATATATATATATAGGGTGTCCAAAAGGCATAAATCCAACGTGATTATGTTACGTATTACTGAGATCAAATGGATGAAAAAAGTTCATATAAACTTATGTCGAAAAATGTTTCATTGAAAAGATATATACTTTAAAAAAAAAAAATATATGATTTATTTCCATTCGTCGAATTAATGATTGGCCAACAGTCGATTGGCCTCTTAGATCATCAGACTTAATATCTCCGGACTTCTTATTTATGGGGGTTAGGCAAAAGAGATGGTTTTTAAAAAATCGGATAGAAACATAAAATGAATCTTGAGAATGCATTTAAAATGCATTTACCATTATTTTCAATATAATTGGAATATATTAAATATTTGAATGCGACAATAACTAATTCGACAAATGAAAGCCTGCTTTCTTGCAGAATAAAGAATTTTCGAACATTTCTTATAACTATTACAATAAATCATAAATATCTTTAAAAGCATATATTTAAAAAAAAAGAAAAAAAAAGAAAAAAAAATCAATAAATCATTTTCAGCCATAAGTTTATAGAAACTTTTTTCATCCATTTGATCTCAGTAATACTTATAGTATAAGTTTCGTTCCATGGTTTATGTACATCATGTATACACACACACACACAGTATATATATATATATATATATATATATATATATATATATATACAATAAACAAAAAAATAGTAAAAGTAGAAGAAGAAAAAGAAAGAAAGAGAGAGAGAGAGAGAGAGAGAGAGAAAAAGAAAAGAAGAAGAAAAAATAAAAATGAACTCAC